CCTGTCCAAGTATAGCGTGGATAATTAAGTTCCCGAAATTCGAGGACCAGTGTGTACAAGAGGTTTTTAGCTAGCGGAATTTCGAGTAATCTTACTACAGTACGAAACACTGCAAAAACGAATGATCGCACGGGGCCCCACAGTGCGCGTCGCCAGTGATTTTGAAATATTTACGTCATATATTGGCATAGAATATCCTGACTGGTTGGTGATATCGCTTTTCATTATAAGTATCTTTAACGTGCTCGAACGTTCAGCACAGGTGTACGCCAATGCTGATTTTGCGCTTACGTGCCCGGGTACGGCGAACAAATATTCTCGTAGTGTTAGGGCGTCTAGGCGGCTAGGTTCTCAAGTTGGTATTTTTCGCTGCTAGATTTTTTGCTTGTAGCATACGTATCGCCGCCACCAAACACAATGCAAAGTTTAGATCTTGCTGTGTTCTTCATTGAAATTATAACTTCCCTGTTAATTTCTGCCAATTCTGTACGGTGTATAACTTGGAGCATTTGAATTCGAAGTATTCTAGGTTTTCACATTGTTACGAGTGCCATTTCTACCTCGTAAAGGGATTTCGGGCGAAGATATACCGCCACTGTTCAATTCTCCGCTCGAACTGAGCGAGTCGCGTAATGAGGTATTCAAACGAATGTTCCGGCTCTGCTATTCGCTGCTTAGGTTACTTATTTTATGTTCAAAAATCATCATTCTTAATCTGCGATCCCGTAGTTCTTTCAGTTCTCAGTTGCCTTTGTTGTGCATTGATGCTGATTGCTTTTGATACGGTACCGGTTCCAAATTCTGCCTTTAGATTGGCATTTTGTCTCTGCAGTAGCAGTTACCGCTTCACCATGCATATTATTACCATAAGTATGCCATAATGATTTGGCTCAACTGTATTTGCGAAATTAGCCCGTTTCTAAATTTAAAACTGCTTGTTCTGCGTATAAAAGGAGGTGTGAGTTGATTTTAGATTTTGAGGTTGTAAACAATTCACCTTGCTCTCTTCCTGAGATTTGGACGTAGGATCTACTTAGACGACTGGAAAAATCACTTTTTTACAGTTGTTAATTAGATTTTATTTTTTAATTTATGCCTCACATCTCTAAACAGAGAATGCTTTGCCAGTGTTACTGTTCAAAGACTGTCAAACTTTATTCCTATTTCTCGCCCCTATCCGTACACCCCTTGAGATTAGCTGCTTTTTCATCATCTGTTTCTTTAAGCAGTCGGTGGAGCTGACAGCTTCTCCATCTTCCACTACTTTTCAAATAGTTTTACGAAGTTGTTCGGCTGAGTCCTTTTGCTTCAAAAGTTACCTTCGTTTTTATGCGTTTTTATGCGTTTTTGCATATATGTAAATTGCAAAAACGCATATTGGGAAGAGG